AATTGTAAGCCTTCCCCCAAAGCATTTTTTTTTTTTGCTTTGAACAAATTTGTATACAAAGTAATTGGCTTCATTATGGAATATTCATAACTTGTTTTCTTTGGTCTTCCTTTCCTCTCCTCACCCCTCCGCTTGCCTCCCTCCCTCCTCCTCCCACAACCCTGGACTCCAGGAGTGCTCACTGCACTTTGCTGTCATGTGCTTTATCGGTCTCTTTCTTCCTGTACACTCAGAATCTCCCCATAAAGCACAGTTTCAGGCAGACTCGATGCTGCTGAGGAGAGTGAGGACCAGCCACCGAGAATCTGATTTTGGTTTTAGTTTCTGCCAAAGGAACATATAGATACAGATGAGACGGCACCCCAGGGGAGCTACAAATTCCCATAAGCCATTCTGCTAAGCCCTCAAGGACATAACAGTCGTCACAAAAAGATGGGCCACTACCTTCCACTTCAAAAGGAAACAAATATCTAAAGCAAATTTCAATGATGCTGTGTCTTAGAGGATAATCCCACCTGTGTGTCGGTCAAGTGCACACATGGTTCTGTTTAATCTTTACACTAGTCTTCGGAGATGGGTAAGGGGTGTCTCTGTGGGAAAATGAGGGGGCTAACAAGGTCAGACTTTATGTCTTAGTCTGTTTGGGGCTGCTGTACCCAACCACCACAAGACTGGGTGGCTTATAAATAACTGAAATCTGCTGTGGAATAATCCGCTTGTACACTGTAAAGATTTGTCACTCGAATTGGTTTAACAAAATGCTGATCGGCCAGTAAGTAGCCAGGTAGGAAGTATAGGTGGGACAACCAGACTAAGGATGATGGGAAGGAGAAGGGCAGAGTCAGGAGTCACCAGCAGACGCAGAGGGAGCAGGAGATGAATGTGCCATGCTAATAAAGGTACTGCCACGTGGCAGAGAATAAATAAGGAATATGGGTTAACTTAATATGTAAGAGCTAGCTAGTAACAAACCTGAGCTATTGGCCAAGCAGTTGTAATTTATATCAAGTCTCTGAGTCAATTATTTGGGAAGCGGCTGCTAGTTATTTGGGAGCAAGCAGTAGGGACAGGAAATGTCCATTTACAGAAATTTATTTCTTTTTATTCTGGAGTTTGGAGGTCTAAGATCAGGGAGCTAGTAATGTCAGACTCTGGTGAGGGCCCTCTTCCATGTGTGGGAGGCCAATTTCTCATATCTTCACATGACAGAGGGAGAGACAACCCTTGAAAGAGGTACATGTCCAACCATGTCCCAGAGCCTTACCCCAACACCGTAACACTGGGGTTTGGAGTTTCAATAAAAAAACTTTGAGGGGACATAAGTAGTTGACCCTAGCTCAAGGCCACTGTTGGAAATACGCTGTCATCTCTGCTCACATGTCTAATCTGCACTAAGCCTTGGTAGCCAGGAGTGTTTTCAGTACAGTGGAGGTTCCAATGCCCTCTTCCCTAGAGAACACTGCAAATGACTCATGTGCACTTGAAAATACCGTTGGGAGAAGTCCCCAGCAGGCTTTTTCTAGCCCTGAGATTCACTACTAACCATGTCTAGATTATTTTCTGATTGTTCCATTAATGTAACATGTGTTTATTATCAAGTTGATAATAGAATTGTTGTATGTACTCTGTAAATCAGAGAAGAAATGGCCTTACACTTGAATGTGATTGCATTCGTTACTTTTCTCATCTTTGTGAAGAAATACCCAACAGATGCTACTTAAGAAGGAAGTTTTTTTTTTCTTCCTGGCTTATAGTTTGAGGTACAGTTCATCATGGAGGCAGGAATGTTTGGCCACAGGTCACATGACATCCACAGCCAGGAAGCAGAGAGATGGATGCTGGTGCCCAACTATCTTTCTCCTTTCAGTTGGGGACTCCAAGCCGTGGTGCCACCCACATGTAGGGGGAGTCTTCCCCCCTTAATGAACCCAGAGACTCCCTCAGACAGGATGAGAGGTTTCTCTCCTAGGTGACTCTAGTCTGTGAAGTTAGCAACCAATATTAAAAATCACAGTGATAAACAACCATCAAAATCACACACACATACACACACACACACACACACACACACACACACACTTCCCACCACAGACTTACCAGCTAAGCTGCTTTGTAGTGGGGCTTGGGGGGGGATTGTACCCATTTTACAGATGAGGAAGTCAGTCCAGGCTCAGTAGATGACCTGACTCGGCTTGCACAGTTAGTTATATGAGTTGGCATCTGAAACCACAACCTCCTGAAATAAACTCTTTGGCATTCTGCCGCTTCCTTCCTTGTTCTTCAACAGAGAAGATTCTCTGTTGTCTCTAACTCATGCTTAGGATATGATTCCTATGTCAAAGCTCAGGTTTGTGTCTTCTCTTTCAATGTTGTTGAATTCTCTGATGATGTCACTCAGCCTTTTCCATCAGCTTCCTCATCAGGAGGTGTGAATAGCCCTACTTCTCAGGTTGTCACTTGTAATAAATGACACATGCTGATCTGACTTAGGGCAGAGGGGACAATGGTCTCCGAACTAACCTTACCCATCATTTCACACTCTACAACCAAAACTATATGCTCAACCTACATGTTCATGGAGTCTTGTATCTTATTGTTTGTGAAATACGTGTTTCCCATGTGTTCTGTGCATGTGTGGGTCTTATCTAGGGATCTTAGGATATGTGTGGGAAGTCTTGTACTTGCTTTCGTTGCTGATTTTGGACATGTAGACTTAAATTTGAGTCAATGCATTAACTAATGTGAAAATGCCTTTACCAATGTGGGGATAGTGGCCTGCCATCCTGGCTGTTGTGAGTCATTCATTTCCTGAAAGAGGGAAGGGCAGCGTTTTTCTTCCTCTGTGGTCAGTTAAGAAGGACCAGGCCCAGGCTGACCATGGTTACATATACCTCCATTTCCTCTTCTATCTAACTCTAGGACAGTGGGGGAGGGACATGTGGCTTAATATCAAGAGGGTCTTGATGATTTGACTGAAGCAGAGAGAGAACTCTGTCCTCTAACCCTGGAGTCTTGGTTGTATGTAAATATTTGCTTGCTTTGTCACTGACTCAAGAGCCACATAGGATCTCAGGGATTCCCATGCTTACACAGGGCACAGAGACATCCAGGCAGTCTGGGTCTAGGACAGTCACTGGACAGGACAGTAACAGAACCTACACCCATGCAGAGGATCCCTGCTGTTCCCATGGGCTATTGCAACTGGCCAAGTTGCCAGTGCAGTGCCTTCTACTAATGGGATTTTCACTTTCCCCAGAGACCGTAAGGTAAGTGCACCTCTGTGAAAGACGAGGCAGCTTAGAGGAAGCCCATGCCATAAAGACAGACATAGTCTGGTGGGTCTGTGCTGTGACATCTCGAACTGAGCAGAAAGGAATCAGTGGGATTTGTTCTGAGGTTTGGGGGGGGGGGTCCTTCCTGTTGTTATGGTGACATGGCAGGAACTTATTCATCTGGGAGACTCCAAGCTTGAAAGGGTCTAGGTAAAGGTTGGAATAGTCTGTTATGCAGACAGGCACCAGGGCCTGGCCCACGGAGAGATCAGGGCAACTTCTTCTTTTTTTTTTTTTTTTTTTTTTTTTGGTTTTTCGAGACAGGGTTTCTCTGTGTAGCTTTGCGCCTTTCCTGGAACTCACTTGGTAGTCCAGGCTGACCTCGAACTCACAGAGATCCTCCTGGCTCTGCCTCCCGAGTGCTGGGATTAAAGGCGTGTGCCACCACCGCCCGGCAGGGCAACTTCTTAAAATGCAGCATCCAAGCTCAAGCTGGGTCCCATCTCAAGTCTCAAAGTCTGGGAAGTTAGCAAAAGGCTGCATTCACAAGAGTCAGGAGGGTTGAGCCACGGCCATGACAACACCCTCCAAGGATGAAGCCACCCGCTCAAAGCAGGCTAATCGACAAACAGAAAAGAGCTTTAGTTTTTAATCGGAGATAATTGCAGACAGAGAAATATATTTTGGGACATGCAAATGTGGATTTTTTTGTTAATGTGTGCACCTCCAAATTGATATTCTTTGTAGAAGTCATTTTTAGCTGTTTGAACTAAGTATGTTTGTGTCTAAGTTACCATGTGAACAGAGGGTCCTTGTGCCTCTGGGTGTTATGATGTCACAGGGGCTGGGCGTTGCTGATGTTGAAGTCTCTTTCTGGGATGGATTAGAATCAAATCATTCTACTTAAAGCCAAGGTCAGAGAGGAAATGGGTGGGATAAGGAGGAGCTGACCTTGGTGGATGGAGAACAGACTGGAAAATTATGGCCAATGTACATTCTGTGTCTCTGCCAAACCATGCATTCGCCAACGACTCAGTTTCTAGAACAGTCCAGGCCTTCCCTATAGACTGTAGCTTCCGAATGTAGGGTTGATGACACTGTGAGTACTTTTTACAGAAGAAAAGTATATTTAAGGGAAGTGAAAGAAAATACATTTAAAGTTATTTTATTGGATGTTGGAGAGGACTTATTTTGAGGTTTCAACGGTTTGATACTCAACAGTCTGAATATATACAAATGAACATGAACCTGTGTCAGCAACACTGATGATCTTAGTTGGATATGATAAAAAAAAGTCTTGTCTTTCCTCAAAAAGGTGGCTCATGTCAATGATCCTAGCACTTGGGAGATGAGCCGCAGGCTGCCAGAAGAGCATTGCAAGTTCAAAGCCAGCCTGGGTTATGTAGTAAGTTCCAGGTCAGCACGGGCTACACAGTGAGGCTTCAATAAGGAATGTCCATAAATGCATCTGCAAGGACAGCTCCAGCTGTACATGAAGGTATTGTTAACAGAGCGCGTACAGCCAGCTTCCCGTGGGGACACTCCGTGACTGGTGTTTTTTTTTTTTTTTTCTGGAGCTGAGGACCAAACCCAGGGCCTTGAGCTTGCTAGGCAAGCGCTCTACCCTTGAGCTAAATCCCCAACCCCCCCCTTTTTTTTGTGACTGGTGTTTTAAACTGAGTTCTTGCCACAGTACAGGAGGAAGAGATTTTTGTCTCTGTTTTACAGGTGCTGTGCTGCAGACTGGTCACCAGTTCTCCCTCTTCTGCCTGTTTACATCTTGGAATCTTGACCCCTTCCTTTGATGGTGTTGGGAGATGACCGGGCTGAGATGAATCTGTGAGGGTGAGACCTGAGACAGAATTAGTGGCCTTACAAGAGGAATAAGACATCAGAGTTCCTACACGGTCTGCCCTCTTCATGCCCTCTTGCCCATCTGTGTGCTCCCTCCTAGTCTATGGCTTCTTGCTGTCCTACAGCCCAAGCTGATGAAGACATGTGCAGGCCGAGGACTACAAGGTTGAAGGGTCTTTCTGATGTCATAAGTCAGGGAATTGTTATGATTTGGATGTGAAATCCCCTCCCCCGCCACCAGCTCATAGGCTTGAACACTGTTCATAGCAGGAGATAGGCTAGTGAAAGGGAGTCAGAGGCTGTATCTGTTCCTTCCTGGTCCTGGTCCTCAGCACTCCCTGAGAGGTGTTGACAATAGCCATTCCACAGAGGTGGGGCATCACAGGAAAAGGTTGTGACTACTAATGCCATCTGTCCCTCGGGAGATGATGCAGTGTTTCAGCGTGGCCTCCCTCTTAGAGAACTGCTGCCTGACAGGCGCACACACACACACACACACACACACACACACACACACACACACACACACACACACACACACAAAGCAACCATTCTTTGCTTTTATTCATGAGAATAAATAAAATCCCCTTTATGAAACCGGGGGACCAAGGCTATCCAGGTCCTAAAAGCAGAAGATTTTTTCCAGTGGCTCTGACAGTCTCCTTCCTGGGAATAAATATTTTATATTTGGTCTCAGTTAAAAGAAAAAATCTGCCCTAAGATTTCTAGGCAGCTCAAAAGCTCCTTTGAAATTCTCACTGTGAGCAAGCAAATAAAATGTGCAGATGAGCATACTTTACTGTGGACGGTGAGCAACGTGAACGAGGCATGATGGGAGTTCCAGGCACTGACAGCAGCAGGCTGTGAAAAAAATGCTGCAAAATTCGCCAGTAAACCGCGAGGGAGGGATCTACACCAGTGTGGAATGCGTGCAGAATGTCGTCCTGACCCCAAGGGAGTTCTTTCTACTTAGTCTCGCCTCCTCTCCTTCTGTCTTTTACTCTGGCCCCCTCTCAGAGTCCTGTAGGGATACTACGCTGTCCATTATCTCTGCACAGCATCATCCTCCTGACTTGACACTCTTTCTTTCTCTCTTTCTTTCTTTCTTTCTTTCTTTCTTTCTTTCTTTCTTTCTTTCTTTCTTTCTTTTTTTGCATACAGCTTTACAGTTTTTCAGACTATCACCATAGACAAGGTCAGTCAAATCTCATCATCTCAAGAAATGGAGGAATGAACACAATGGCCCTTGTTTCAGGACTAAGGGTTCAGGAAGTGAACACGGATTTACTCAGGGTTCTATGAGCTGGGCAAGTGTCGATCTAGAGTGAACGCGGTGGCTGGATCAGGATGTCTATAGCAGCCCATGGATCAGCCAATACCAGACTGCAGAGCAGCAGGGGAGAGAGCATGAGCAAGGGGAGGCTAGTGGTGTGGGCATCCATGACGGGAAGCCTCCAGCTGGGGTTCCTCAGCCTCTTCCCCTGGTTCTCTCAGCACAGATGGTTGTCACTGTGGTGACTCAGGCCCCTGGCTGCTTTTTGTGACAAGTCACTCGACAAACCAGGCTGTCCATTGTTCAGGTGGCAGAGAGCTCATGCCTCAGGATCAACAAGTGCATAGAGACAATTAAAATGTCTTAATTCACTTTATTCTCTGGGGTGACCTCTGCAGTCAACCTTTCATGCCTTTATTCTCAGGGTTGCCCTGATTAAACCTTTCTCTAGAACTTTCCATACTTTTTAACCAAATTAGAATGAGTGAATAAAAATGCGGATTCTAATTAGCACTTCCTGCATATTAAACAAATCACTCTTCCCTTTACTTGAAGAGTCACTGGAAGGAGATCGGGTTTGAAACCTTTTTTTTTTTTTCTGAATAGTGGTGACCCCTTATGGCAAGAATGTTGCTGACTATTAGGGGTTCTGTTCTGTGTCCATCTGAGTGATCCAAGGGCCAGTCAGCATTGTGATTTCAGTGACTGAAAAAAGGAAGTAAGACTCACAGGGAGCCTGGTTTTACAGGAAGGTATGCATGGATGCATTTTTTAAAATTACTTTCAATGACTGCAGTGTCTAGTAAAGTAGGATTTGAGAGAAAGCGACTTTTCTTTCCAGAAATGGACTGGGGGAGCTGCTGACTGGTTTACACCTGTGACATTCCCTGAACATTACAGCCAAGTACAGTCTGACCTCCAGTGAGCTGGTGAGACTTGGTGTATTCTGGGTGGAAATCCCCTTTTAGATTTTTCATGAAACTCTCCCAGCGGAATCACTGCTGGCTCCTAGGAAGACTGGGAGCATCAGAAGAGCTCCAGCTCGGCCATCAGAAAGTCTTTCCTTTCACTGGTGGCCTGCTCTTTGCCCCAAAGCCATGTCATCACAGAGAACAGATCCAGGGCTCATCCGCTGTAAAACTGTCATTTTTTTACCAAAGTGACATTATATCGAACATTTAATTATTCATTACTAATGCTTGTCATGGTGAAATGTTGGCCTCACTAATTTTGAGAGCACCAGATCCAGCTTTTCTTCCTTGAAGGTTAATGGCCGAGTCTCTGATTTCATTTCCTTTTCTAAACACAGCACACCTACCTCATTGTGTGGCTTTGAGGATGCTTAGCTCTGTTATCAAGTGAAACCCTCACCACTGAATCTAACCTGTGAGGAAGAGAAGCTCACTTTAATGGCCGTGGTGGGGAGAGCAGAAGTTGGGGGTGACATGTTTTTATAAGAGACACACCTCTTGATTGAAATAAATTGTATACTTTTATATAAATCTGCTGTCAGACTTAGAATTATTCTGTGTAGGTCTGCACACTATACCTCCTTCTGCTGTGGAATGCACCATGACTTTTAATTCTCCTCTGAGAGACCTTTCCCATCTGTCTCATCTCCCTGGCAGTTGCTGGAGATGTGAAGGCTGCTGATGTTGACCTGAGGCCCACACCAGGAAGCTCATCATGAAGTCATGAAGGAATGACTTCATTGATTGTGTCATTGACATAGAGCCTGGGAATCAAGGCTATCTATTGCTAACAGATTCAAGGGCGGGGCCTTGGGGCCCCGTCCCTCATCCATGCTGGAATTCTGAATGGCTTGATCTTGTGTAGGTAACACCAGCTACTGTGAGCTGATATGTGTAATAGTATGTCCAAATCAAGAAGTCAGTATTTCATGGTTTCCCTCCACCTTTGAGCTCTTACATTCTTTCTGTCCATCTTTTGCAATTCTGTGAGCCTTGGATGGGAGGAGGTTGATGTAGATGGTTCACCCACAGCTGAGCACTCATGGTTACTTACACTCCCACTTTGACCTATTGTGAGCCTCTGACCATCACCCACTGCAAAAAGAAGCTTCTCTAATCAAAGTTGAGAGCAATACAGATCCATGGATATAAACTTAGAAGGCAGTCTATCAGCATAAGCACTTAGCATGAAGACAAAGGTAGGTCTTTCCCTAGGACTGGTAATCTTCCACTCATGGACATTTGATCAGGCTTGCAGTACTGGACATGAAATCTCTCCTGTGGAGAAGGCCTCATATTGAACCAGAAAGTGATTGGTTGCCTTCATAAATGTCATGCCACTATGGTAGGCATATCTTTTGGATTGTCAACTTGATGGAATCTGGAATCATCTAGAAGACCATCCTCCAGGCAAACCTGTGAAATATTATTTAGATTATGTCAGCCTCTAAGAATGTCCATGAAGGATTATCTTGATAAAGTTCATTGAGATTGGAAGCCCCACCTTGATTGTGAACAGCACCTGGAGGCCCTAGACTAGAAAAAAGAGAATGTGAGCTGAATACCAGCATTCATTTCTCTCTGCTTCCCAACTGCAGATGCAATGTGACCAGCTGCCCTGAGTGTCTGATACAATGACTTCCCATCAACACACTGCTCTAGACTTCTTATCCCTTTTCAGAGATCCTATTCTGGCCAATAGTGCTTTGGGAAGTAATTCTGAAACTCTCATTCCCAGCCAGACATCTGGGATTGTCTCTGAGGAGACTCTTCCTTCAGAGCAGGACGTAGGTCCTGAACTCTTCCAGAATCAACTATGCACTGTGAATTGCCTATGATTCTCATGTAAACCCCTTGACAGATTTACTTACTTATGCATACCCTTTCATGGTTTCCCGTGGTCCCTGACCCATGGCAGACCCTGAGTGGAGGCCTACTCCATTATTTTATTTGGGCAGGGGTTATGGGCAGCCCTGTGAGGGTTGGGAGATATAGTTCAGAGAGGAAAGCCAACGAGAGACTCATCACTGATAGGTTACTACTGTGAAATCCAAGGCAGAAGTAGTGTTGGGGTCTTGTGAAAGGATTCCTGAGGCTGCCTTAGACTTAAAGGACTGAGGGGTGTTTAGTTGAGTGTTGATCAGTGAACTGCACTCTCCTTAGTTGAGGGCTGCTTTGGGTTCTTTATTTCCTGCTACATCTCTGCTGTCTCTCAGGCTGTAAATCTTGCAGGAGAAACATGGGAATTCTTTTTTCTAAAAATTCTTCTCTCATACAATACATCCCAACTGCAGTTTCCCCTCCACTACTCCTCCCCACATCAGCTCTTCTCCAGATTCACTCCTTTGTTTCCCTTCAGAAAAGAGCAGGCCTCCCAGGGATATTCTTATGTAGCGGACACTGTCTGCAGAGGAAACACAGGCATATCTAGGGGACAGGGCAGTTTTCCCACCTTGTCTGCTAATTCAGGCATATTCTTGACGTTGTGTCTACTTTTCCTTTCGTAGATAATTCTTCACGTGATTTGACTCAGATCTCTCTCTCTCTCTCTCTCTCTCTCTCTCTCTCTCTCTCTCTCTCTCCCTCCCTCTCCCTCTCCCTCTGTCTCTGTGTGTGTTTCTCTCTCTCTGTGTGTAGGTAGAGTATAATGGTTAAGACTGATGGTCACCTTGACAGGAACTAGAATCACCTTGTAGACAAATCTGTGAGATGGGTTCTAGACTAAGTTATCTAGGGTGAGAAGCCCCACCCTGACTGTGAGTGCCATCATTCCAAGGGCAGAGTTCCAGATGAATGGAAAGGAAAAAGAGAGTTGAGTACCAGCACTCACTGTTCGTTGCTTCTTGACTAGACACCACGTTACCAACTGTCTCACCTTCCCACTGCCATACTTTCCTCACCTCAATGGGCTCTACCCCTTGAACTGTACACCCCAATAGATCCTTTCTTTCTTTAGAGATAATGAATCTTAGGAAAGATTCCTTTTATGTGTCATGTCCCAACAATGATAAAAATACCACACAAGGTGTGTACCATGCAGATGATTAAGTGACATTTGTTCCAAAACCATGGAGAGAAAGGTACTCACATTTACCACTTTCTTACTATGGAACAGATGGCTGGCCCTTTACAGTGTCTTTGGGTGACCCTCACAATAGCCACAGGAATCATGTACTTGAACAAACAGAGGCTCAGGAAATGTCAGCGCTCCCTCCAGGATGCAGAGGGAAGGTGGGGAGAGGCCATCAGAACCT